CCCCAAAACCCCAAAACCCCAAAACCCCAAAACCCCAAAACCCCAAAACCCCAGGATTTATGTAAAATTTTCATTAGATTATGCTTTATTAATTTACCCTTTTCTACATCAGAAAGAAACAAAACATAAAATAAAAGATGAAAACTTGATTTACCGAACTGTGCAAATCCGAAAGGAAAGTGTTCTGCCGCCACCACAAAGCCATTCTGTGTTATGGCTGCAAAGACAAGTACCACAGAGAGTGAGAAGTTGAAGAGATTATTATTCCAGCCAGAATAGATGACAACATCACTCACCTCCTAAAAATGCTCGATATTATGAAAGAAGACAGTCAGAAGCTAAAAATTCAGATGCATATAGATGGAATCGATGAGTTTATTCCAGAATATCATTCTAAGACCATCAAAATGAAAGAGCACCTTGCAAACTCAATAAAGCATGACAAATTTTTGGAATACGGGGATTTGCTCAAATCCATACTTGAACTCTCAGAAAGAATTCTGGAAAATGAAGTTTATGCCAGCTATTGTAGTTTTATGATGAATTTTAATACTACACATAAAGTCCATAAACTTAAAGAACTAGAATTAGGAGAAGAAATCGTTAACCCAGAAGAACCTCAGATTATGGAAGAGAACAAGAAAGCCACAGAAAAATATTTAAAGAAAATATGTGAAGGTAGAGAACTAGAGAAGCTATACGAAGAAGTGATGAAGTGTGATCTTAAATCAAAAAGGCTTGATGAATTAAAGATCGACCTTAGTATAGCAAAGGATGTAGAATTTATGAATGCGATCATCAAAGACAATGTTACGATTAAAGATCTCAAGTGATTAACCATACAGGATTGTGACAAAAATATAAGCGAAGTTTCACGCTTTCTCAAACATCAGTTCTTTACCAATATATTTAAATTAGAGCTGAGCTGAGATAGGGATTGAAAATGGAGCTCATGTGAGTTGAAAACGATTGCATCATTTCTTAAAACAGCAATCCAAAAGATGGGTTCAAAGGAAGTTTGCCTCGATGTATGGAAAATAGGCTCCTCTGATTTTTCTGTATTGTTGGAAGGTTGCACTAAATGAGAAACATTATCAATTCAAAGAGGATGTTTCAAAATTTCCAATTCCATTAAACTTGACAAAAATGCTGATTTTAGCATTAAAACTCTAAAACTGAGTTGATTTGACAATTATAGTCTCCCTCCCAAAAATTATGAGTCAATTTTGTTAGGAATAAAAGAGTCTAAACTTCAAGACTCAATCAAAGAGATCAGATTAGGCCAGCACTTATCCCAGAACCTATCCAAAATGAAATCAAAAGCAAAACCTCTTGGACTTGAGCATATAAAATTCCTCCGCATGACATAATTTTAATAATTTCTTTTAACTGATAAAATGAATTAACTCTTATAGTGTATTTAGAATTGTTTAGTTAAGTTTATAAACTAAAGCTTTAAAGTTGACTATTTATACATCTAGCCTAAATACTGACTGCTATTAACCAAGCTTCTAAAGGATTTGGGCAAAGATTGGCCCATCGTGAAACATCAGTTTTAATTTCCAAAAAGCTCTTGTTGATGTAAGTCAGAGAGTAGTAAAAAGTTGGACTAAAAAGAAAATTAGAGGTCTTTTATGGACCATAAGCATGATAGTAAGCCAAGAAATATTAAGAAAATAACATTTTGATTACCTAACTGTATTTTTCAAGAATACCACTTTGTATTTTTATTAGGTTTATACTTTAAAATGAAAGAATGAAATTGTGATAAAAGCGTACTATAGTAATCTTCCCATTATAATAAAAAATATTGGAACTGCTATATCTTCTTAGAAAACCATTAAATTTGTAGAATAAATTAGAAGATATTAAATTAAGATTCATGTTAGTGTTCTTCAAATTTTTACTAAAGCATACAAACTAAAGATTTAACAACTCTCGAAAGTATAAAAACTCATATGGTAAATCTTTCTTACACAAAATAAGCCTTTTGGTTTTCTCCAAAAGCTTCCCAAAGAAGTAAGCCTGGAAATATCTGGAAACTATATTGCTCAGATCATCAATCTTAACCCAAAAAAGCACACAACCAAAATACTCTTTACAAAGTATCAGTTATCCTCTGTAATCCCATATAAGAATCAGAACTATGTCACTCAAATATTTAATGTACGAAAGAAAATGACCAATCCTTTAATAATAACTAGTAAACATAAACCATTAAATCAGCTTGTTTTAACTTACAGCCTTCAGAATTAATTTAAAAGTTGGTGCGTATATAGCATGAGTATATAAAATAATTTCAAGAAACATAAGTTTTAGAGAACGAATGTCTATGATTATTTAAGATGTTGCTAAAATATTCGTAATAATGCCCAACCGTTATCTCTATTAATTTCATTGAGTATGTTATCTACAATTCTATTGTATGGAGATTTCCTAGCATTGTCATTTCTTCTAGTCATCAACATATAAAGAGTATTATCCCAAGTAGAAAGAGCATTCTGATACTTGGTCTAAAGAATTGGAGAGTATTTCTATAATTCTGAAAGGTTCTAGAACTTGGGAAGCAAGAAAGGATCAAGACAATCAAAATTTCTATTTAATTAACTTTAAGTCACATATATTGATGCCTTTAAGATAGACTTTCTGATTTCAATTCGGTACCCCTTCATTTCTTGTCCTCTCTTTTCTAGAAAATCAATTTTATTCTATCTGCATTTGATTACTGAAATTCTGTACAACAAGTCTATATACTTAAGTCTAAAAAATTACAAAGAGAAATTGCTAGAATATCTTGCTCTAGTTTGATCTAACACTCAATCTCAAAAGTCTCCAGTTTTGATTTAATCCTTCGTATATTTTCTGCCAATTTGGTTTCTTGTTTTAGTTTAGCATTTTAAAATATGACAATTCCATCAATTTGGATATGAAATACTTCTTTCTTTATGAAAGAGACTTTATTGATGCAGGTTTCATCAAAATTTTTCCTAACATTAAAAGAGATTTAAAAATTGGTGATTCAAATTAAAATTCTAACTATTTGAACCTTTTCAAAGGAATGAAAGCCTGATTCACCAAACTGTGCAAGTCTCCAATAAAAGTGTTCTGTGAAGAACACCATATTTTTCTGTGTTACGGATGCAACGATAGATATCATGATCAATGTAGAGTTTCTTTTATTGTCGATTCACAAAGAATCACTGAAAATATTGCCACCCAAAGAAATGTATTAAAGAAAATGGAGGAAGATCAGAAAAGACTTCAACTTGATAAGCACATCAATGGGATAGAAGAGTTTATCTTAAAGTATCAGAAAAAGATAAACGATATTCAGACTAGTCTCCAGAATTCTATAAAGCAAGACCAGTGTTTGGAATATGAGCGTTTACTGCAATCTATTTTGAAGTTAAATAGAGCTTTTAAGGCTGATATTATTTATCAGCAATATTCTGACTTTATCATAAAGTTTAAGGCTACAAATAAAGATTACATTGAATGTATAGATGAACCTCCAAATGAAACTCAGAAATCAGACTACTCTTCCATCAGCCAAGAGGACTCAGAAATGTCTGATGATTTATTAGAAGAGTGGGACCAGAATAGAGATTTACAGCAAATATATGAGAGAGTGATGGAATGTGAAGCTCATATAGACAAACTACAAAAACTGAAGATTGATTTGAGTGATGTTTGAGATATTCAGTTGATTGAAAAGATTAATGAAAAAAACATACAGATAGAAAATCTTGAATCAATTTCAATTTGCAATTGTGAAGAAAACAAATTAATCTTATCTTATTTTCTGCTTTCTTCAAAGCAGAAAAATATTAATACACTCAAACTTAGTTGAGGTTCAAATTGAGCATGGGAAGATTGAGAGATAAGATCAATCTTAGGGTCCCTCATATCTTCAATGATATCAATGAAACCAAAAGAAGTTTATTTAGATGGTTGGAGAATCAACTCATCTGAACTTTCGAAATTACTAAGGGCATGATCAGAGTGAGAGTCAATATTTATAACTAAAGCAAATTTGGAAATTGTTGATGAAATCGATCTGGGTAAAGATATAAATTTTAAGTGCAAAGAATTAGAGTTTAGCTCTTATATGACAGGTGAATTCAACACATTAATGAGCCATATCCTGAAAGGAATCAGCAAATCCTCCCTTAAAACCTCTCTTCGAGAGATTCGGCTTGGAAAAGACAGCACACCTGATCTCTCATCCCTGGAATCCACAGTGAAATCCCTTGGCCTATCCCACATAAGTTTCCTTGAAGTTTCTAAATTATTCTAATTTTCTTCTTAATCCCTTCTTTCTTGTACAATAAACTTCTCTAAAATCCTGAACTACAGGGTTTCAGCTTGGAGCCAACCGAGTTTTGGGAGTAAAAGAGAACCAAAGTTTCAGAGGAAGAGGAGGATTTTTGAAGAAGTTTTGGGTGGTAGTGGGGTGAAAGGGTCTTCTGTGTAGCAATGGCTGTTGAGAAAATGAGAAGAAGTGGAGAGTTGAGATAAGTCTTAGGGAAAATTATTCTTATCGTATTAAATTATGATATTTCAACAAATTCAATGGTTCTAAAATTAACTGGGGTTTTGGGGTTTTGGGGTTTTGGGG